TTTTGTAAGACCCCACTTCATGGTTTCCATGTATTTTTATAATAATTATAAAATCAAGAAAATATATAAAAAAAAAAAACTAATAAAAAGTTAACTCACACTAATGTTAAGATAAAAACCGATGTTACTATACAAGAACTTAAAAATTATAACGACAAGGGTGATGTTTCATTGGTTTAAACTTGAGCTATAAAAGTCAAAAGTGTCTGAAGGTCTCATGTTCGAATCCAAAGAGGAATAAAAAAAAACCCCTTGTAACCATGGAAGTTTAAATCGGGTGACTCTGAGCTACCCACAAAACAGATGATCACCTGATCGACTTGCATAACAAATTTGATATTCAGATTAATTAAAAAAAATTATGAGATTCTTTTAAGAATTTTCTTCAATTATCATTATTTTAATAATAATCCACATTTTTTTTTGCTTATAAAAGGTTTTTTATATCAAAAAAATATATTTTATCATGTAAAATATTTTCTTTTTGACCCCTATAAAAACGAGGTTGACCCATTTGAAAAAAAGGCAAAATAATTGTTTTTTCTAACATAGAATTGTTTAAATGGTTGTTTATCAAACATTTACCTGGTAAGTGTTTATTGGTAAAAATCAACACTATCATTTGTTTTATAGGTAAGATTTTAGTTTACCAAAACGATAACGTATTCAACAATTTACCCGGTAAGCGCTATCGCTCTTACTTACCGGGTAAGATTCTTGATCTTTACTATATTCATCGGGTATAATTATTTGACTTGGTAAAACTAGATGTAAATAACCATACTTAATAGAAAAAAGGTAGAGTTGTTCACGGGCGGGATGACCCGCTAGACCCGTCATGTCCGGTCCACTAGAAAAGCGGGCTTCGATTACCATTCTCGAATAAATGGACGAGTCTGGATTGACTTGTTAAAATTAATGAACGGACATGGGCAATATTAAGCAGGCCCGCCAGACCCATTAATATTTTTATAATAATTAACTTTTATAATTAAAATTTACAAATAAAATTGAAGATTATTAATACTTATTAATTCCTACTTAATCATGACTCACGATAATAACATTTTTTAAATATTAAATTTGAAAATATAATTACCTAAACTGATCAATTCCTTATTATCTCATTTAGTCATTTTATTTATTGATACTTCATATTTAGCGAAACAATTTCTTTCTAAAATATGTATATTTTTATGTATTTACGTCAAATTATAAGTTGAAAAATTTGTTATGTATTTTGAATTATTTTATCTAAAACATAACAAGTTTTTTATATAAGTTTTGTTTTCATTTTATAAAATATAACAAGATTTTTAAGCCCGTTAATCCATGGGCAAGCTCAGCTCGTTAATGGACGAGTATGAGTAAGTTTTCAAGCCCATAAAAATAGGTTTGGTTTTACCATATTAGGCCCATTGGACAGAAAAAGTAGGTTAAGCTTGGTCCGGATCTAATCCAAGGCCGTAAATGATCAGCTCAAAAAGATTTGATACGATAAATCTTAATGAGGTTGTTTACTTGCGGCTTAATTAGGCTTATTGGTCTATCTGACTTATTCACACAGCTCATTTGGGTTGTTTACTCGCGGCTTATTCGCACAGAACATGGCTTAATCGCACAAATAGAAATGATGTGTTGTGTCCATCCAGCCACAAAAATAACACCCTATCCTTATTTAAAACATTGTCTCCTTCCCAAATGAGATACCCCATCGTCAACCTTTTTATAATTTTCTGTTTTGATGTTCAAATAATTAATATTGGGGGGTTAATCGGTCATTTATGTTATTCAAACTGTTGGTTCAAATAAAAAAAGTAAACAACAACACTCATTTATCCAGACAGACTTAATAAAAAAATTGGTAAAAACAAAAAAGGTGATTTAAATAATATGGCCAAGTTAAAGAAAAGTGTGAATCAAATCTAAAAAAGTGGTACTTCTTTTTATGCATAAAACTACGAACTTGGTTCAACTCTCAAAAATGAATTCAATGTTTTTAATTTTTATATTTTATATTTTATGAATAAAAACAATGATCATAATTAATATTTATTTGAACAATTATGAACAGTTTTTTCAACGTTTATTCAGTAGATGCTTACTCGATCAATGTATTTTATCGGGATAAACATGATAATGATTGAGAATCTTCTCCGTTAAGATTGATGACAATGATCGAAAGTCTTATCAGGTAAATGAATGTGACGACTATTACCCGACAAATGTTTACTGGATAAAAATGTTGCATATTATGCCTTTTTATTGGAATAAAATCTTACATGATAAGTTAGATATTGACTCTTACCATTAAATGCTTACCGGGTAAATGTATCTCTTAATGCCTATTAATCCTTATCCGCCCTCTATCACATGGTTTATATTTTGGGGGCTAAAAGAGATTTGTTAGCAAAATCTATTCACCTTTTATACTTTTGTGAAACTATTTATCTTATAAATTTATCACTAGTTTGACCGATTCAGATTTCAGATTTTAGACGTAAAAACAAACAATCTTACTGATCCAAATTTTAGACTTCAGGACCACCTCTTATAAATCAGAAGTAAATCAGACTTCAGACTCCAACACCTCTTAAAAAACAAACGTCACCTTATATCAATTTAACCTAAAAACGCTACCTGTAACCGACTTGAAATGTTTTAAAACTAAAAATAACCCTAAATCAATTTTAACTTTCCAAACCTTACGTCATTCAAACATCGTACATACACAAATCATTAAAATCATATCTTAAATTGGTCGTAGAAAACAAACATCTGCGGGGATAGCTCAGTTGGGAGAGCGTCAGACTGAAGATCTGAAGGTCACGTGTTCGATCCACGTTCACCGCATTTTCTTTTGCATTTTCTGGAACAAATTTTCATTTTTAACCTTTCACTATATATATGTTCTACTTTTACCCCTGAAGTTTATACAATCTACAGATGATATCGGTTTATATAAATTAGTTTCAGAAGGAAAGTATCAGTGGGGATAGCTCAGTTGGGAGAGCGTCAGACTGAAGATCTGAAGGTCACGTGTTCGATCCACGTTCACCGCAATTGTTTTTATGTTTTCAACCTTTGACTATATTCAAATTGTACTTTTACCCCCTGGAGTTTTATAAAATCTGCAGCGTATCACCCAGGTTCGTATTTCACTTGCTTATTGATCGGATTAGCCTCGTATATACAAGTTTTCACTTTCAACCTTTGACTGTATTTTTATTCTACTTTGACCCCCTAGGGTTTATAAAATCTACTGCGTATACCCATTTTCATAGTTCACTTGCATATTGATCAAAATAACCTCGTACAGAAACAAAATTTCACTTTCAATCTTTGACTGTGTGAACATTCGACTTTCACCCCCTAGAGTTTAAACAATCTACAGCATATACCCAGGTTCGTATTTCACTTTCATATTGATCAGATTAACCTCGTATACAAACAAATTTTTCGCTTTCAACCTTTGACTATATTGTATTCTACCTTTACTCCCTGAAGTTTATGCAATCTACAGCATATACCCAGCTTCATATTTCACTTGCATATATCTATACTATATTATAAAACATTTGTCAAAAACCCTTAAAACCATGTTTTATTACAGCTGTTATACATATGTACCTGATGCAATCATATATGACTCTGTTTCATTGAACAGTCTGAGTCTATTTCATTGGAAATTCTCATGTTTCATTGAACAGTTTGAGCATATTTCATTGAAAAATAGTGACGATATTTTTTCAAAAAATTTGATGGATATATCAATTAAATCTTTGATAATGTTGTGTCAATCAATATATCATCCATATTTATATAAATATTATATTGTTACCAAACTTATCTATTAATATTAAATAATTATCAAACATAACTATCGTAAATTCAAATAACCATAATACCCTTATAAATTAAAAAAAAAAAACAAATGGATTTATGTGATTGGTTGTAATTAGTTTGTAAGATATATACAAATTGTGGACGGTTTGTATTTGATCGTTCCCCCCTCTCTCTCTCTCTCTCTCTCTCTCTCTCTCTATATATATATATATATATATTTTATTTTTTGTTAACAGTGGGTGTCCGTACCAGTTTATAGTAGGGATGGCAATGGGTCAGGTTGGGTTGAGTTCGGATTCAACCCATTTATTAAACAAATTGAAAATCCCAACCCAACTCATTTATTAAACAAATTGAAAATCCCAACCCAACCCATTTAATTTAATGGATTGAGATTTTCCAACCCAACCCAACTTTGTTACCTAAATGAGGTGACAACGGGTTGACCTGTTTACCATTTTCTTAGCCCAACTTGTTAAATAAATGGATTGAACTTGAGTTGATCCATTTAATTTTAAAATCTTAACTAAAAAAAGGACTAGACTGTTTTTTTTAATAAAACACAACCATAAACACAAACAAATTGTTCAAAGTTTGAATAAAACACAACCACAACAAATATATTGTTAAAAATAAATTGGATTGGATTTTGGAGGCAATAATGGAGTAATGGACTAAAGTGTTTTCTTAGGGTTTCATGATATTAAAGTAATGGAGGCGATTGAAATTTGGAGTTTCATGTCACGTCGGTAGGATTTTTAATTAAGAATAAAACAAAATAAAAAATTAGAATACTATACATAATATTAAGAATAAAATAATATAATATAATATTTTAAATGGGTTGAAAACTGATTAAAAACATGTCGAAAAATTCAACTTAACCCAACCCATTTATTTAAATAGGTTAGACGGGTTGACCCATTTATTTAAATGGGTTAAAAATCTCAAACCAACATGCTAATTTTGGGTTGGGTTCGGGTTGGGTCATTTTTTGCCGCCCCTAGTTTATACGCACCTCGACTAATCCCAGGGTCTTAGATAGCTAAGAAAATCCTCAATAATCTTACAGAACTGGACCGATAATCTCTAAAAACACTGTAAAGACCCAAACTTTACTGTCAGTTTAAATACTCATTTCTGGTGTATCATATTAACGTTAACCAACACAAAAACGGATTCACATTTTCAAATGTTTTTCAAACAAAATATCGTACAAATCTCATCCTTTCGACAAAATAAATCATCAATCGAAATCAAGAAAATTGTTTTCATAATTAAACAATTTCAAAATAAATCAAATTCAAGATAATTCTCCGAACCCTTCTTCTCCGGTGCAACGACGACGTTTTTCTCGCAAAGGGACGGCACCGGAGAACCAATCCGCTCAAACACCACCGGCTTCGGGATTTCCGGCGGGCTCGCGCAACGGATCAACGCCCAATTCACGCCTTCGAAGAAGGGATGTTGTTTGATTTCCGTCGCTCCTCTCTTGTACGCCAATCTTTGACGTGGTTCTTTCACTAGTAACCCTCTGATCAGATCTCTCGCCGGAAAACTCACCACCGGCGACTCGGGAAACCTCAACGGCTGCCCAACGACGTTCATCAGAGTCGCTCGATTACCCGAGCCTTTAAACGGAGTTTTACCGAAAAATAACTCGTACAAGAAGATCCCAAGAGTCCACCAATCCACTGCGCTGCCATGCCCTTCATTTTTAATAATCTCCGGCGCTAAATACTCGTGTGTCCCAACAAACGACATTGACCGGACTCCGGTCGGCTCAGCCATAAGTTCCGGCAACGGTCTGACTTGGTTTCCGATCTCAGATTTCGGTTTCTTGTCTTTCTTGGACCGACTCGAGAAGAATCTTGGCGAGAAACAAGATGTGGGAACCACACATGATGGTTGGATACAGGAAGGTGGTTCGATGCAGGCCGGCTGAACGCAATAAGCCGAGTTCTTTCGGAGGGGTTCGTTTTCTAAAGATGATGAGTTAACGAGCGTTGGACTGACCGAACAACGAAGGGAAAGATCGAAGTCCGTAAGCATTATATGACCGTCTTCCCTAACGAGAACATTTTCCGGCTTCAGGTCACGATAGACTATTCCGAGCATATGTAGGTATTCCATTGCGAGAAGTATCTCTGCGGCATAGAACCTAAAACGCATAATTCCGTCATATAAAACAAACCAAAACTACAACAAAATCGGGTTCACAAGATGTTAAAATCCACTTTTTTAGCCACTTTTAACATCAAATTCCCATTTTAGCCAAAATTCCGTCATATATATTAAGCCACATTCTATATCATTAAGCCACTCCCCAACCAGTCATGTCTAGTTGACCGAATAAGCTGTGAGTCTCGGTCCCATTAAGCTGCTAACAAACAAGCTCTAAATACGTCATAAACACGTAATAATTGGGGCTATAAACTAGTATATAGTCCTATAAAACATTCTATCGGATTATTTAGATATACCTCACGTTTTATAAAGCCGATTTTGTTGTAACGAGTACGATGATAAAATTCAAAACTTTATGCAATGAAGGAGTTAGGATTAGGTGTTTTACTTGACAGCTTGTTCGCAAAACCGTTTTGCCGGTTGTCGTTGTCGAAGCATGTGCAAATCGCCCCCAGGGCAAAACTCCATGACCAAACATGAGAACTTTTCGGTCTCGAAATGCGTATACAAACTCGGAAGAAACGGATGATCCAACGATTGAAGTATTTCCCGTTCGGTTTGAGCTCGTAGCAACTTATTACGACCCTCGAGTGTCACTTTATCCATCACTTTCATCGCAAAATAACATTTTGTACCCGAAAGCTCGCAAAGATAAACACTTCCGATATCGCCACAACCCAATCGTTTCAACAAGCGGAAATGATTCAAACCCAAAACCCCGTCTTTTAATCGAACGGCTTGGATCGCTTCCCATCTCGAATCGTTCGATTTATGGGGTTTGTTGATGCTGTTACTTAAACTGCTGTAACTACTTTCATCACTCAAATCTGTGCTTGTGCTTCCTCTGCAGATGCTACTCTTCCCACTTTCGACAAAATCGGTTTTTTCGACCGGTTTTCCGGATTCCGACCAATCCTTAAAACCCCCAATCGGCAACGGTTTCATTTCTTCGATCGATCCCATTTTTTGGCTTTCGTTTGGACTTCGTTTAGTATCGGTTACAGATTCAGAACTATTGGTTTGCTGAGAGTCCTGAGACTTGATTTCAGGTGTTCTTTCGGGTTCTGCCGGTGGCTTTTCCGGCGACCGACTACAAACGATTCTGCTCTGTTTTCCGGTGGAAACCTTCAGATTAGATTTAGAATTCATTACGAGAAACTGTTTAACTTCATCGAATCAAACAGATTACATCTTCAAACTCCATGAATCTGTGAAATCAAGATATCAGAATGAACTCAGAAACAGTTTTCATCTAATCAAGTCATCAAGATTCAGATTAAAGATTTCTTGAATGCAAGATCTAATGAACCCAGAAAGCATTTGATAGATCTGCAATTAAGTTTGAAGTTTCAGAATCTGAAACAACTCAAGAAACCATTTTCAGTTACAACTTCAAGAACCCAACAATGGAAACATCAAGTTTCACAATATGAAACAAATCAAGAATGCCTTTCACAGTTAAAATTTCAAGAACCCATCAATGGAAATCATTCAAACAACTGATATGAGCACCAGATTATATGATCAAGATGGAATTTATCAAGAACACAAGTTTTATTTACCTGAGAGTGATTCTAAAATCATTGTAAACCAGATTTGTTTTTTTTTGGGGGATGGGGGGCAAGTTTGCTACAAAATACAGAACTTTGGGGGGCAAGTTTACTAACAAATCAAGAAAATCTTTTATAGTTACAATTTCAAGAACCCATCAATGGAAAACATTCAAACAACTGATATGAACACCAGATTATATGATCAAGATGATGCTAAAATCATTGTAACCCAGATTTGTTTTTTTTTGGGGGGGG